CGTCACTGGCCGAGAGCGAGCCTGTGAAGAGACCAGAGATCGAGATGCGCGACGTGGAGATGCGGGATGCACCACAGCCCATGCAAGCTTCTTCTAGCTCCAGCTACCAGCGAAATCAGCAGCCTGTTATGTCACCTGTCGACCAACAAACTATGTCTCGCCGGCCGAGCATCCCTTCCCACCCGGCGCCCACTTCAAGGATACCCGAGGCAGCTCCGCCTACGGGCCCGTACCGCGGACCTAGTATTGGCGGGCTCAACGAGCGCGGCGAAGTCGTCAGTATCACACCACGCGGCGTCGGACCTCCGATGATTCAGTCGACCAGTGGCGCCAACAAGAAGAGGCATATGGACGCCAGTGAAGGACAACCCAGTGCGAAGAAGGTATGTGGCAGCTAACATCTCGAGTTCTACTGGCGATATGCCCCATATCACGCCATCGTTGTCTGGTATCGAGAGGGGAAAAAAACAAAGATTATTGACCCATCACTCATTTTAGACGCAGCAGAACAGACATGTTTCCGACGCAGTTCTCTCGAGAACGCCCAGAGAGCCGCGGGCGCACCAGCAGCCTATCGACCCTTCGGCGATGGAGGTGCTTGGTCTAGTCCCACCTACGAGACCATCCCCTCCGCCAGCTTCTGCAGGACCAGAGCCTTCTGGGTTGGGAAGCAGGCAGCCAAGTGGCAGTGGACCGCTAGGTCTCCCCCGTAGAGTGAGTTGACGTCTTCAGACCCGACCAAGTAGTAGTGATATTGACGGAATACAGCCACAGCCGCCAGGACCAATGATGCCCCCCAAGAAGAAGGCCGCCGACCCATTTATCCGGAGGAAGCCTAATGGACCGCGCCGATGATGGCATGGCGGTCTCGTAATGTATTATAACTGACTTTTTCTTGTCCATTTGGGACTCGGATCACGACTTTTGAGTTGGTGCAACGCATCTACACGCATAGCAAGGTGTTTCATACATGAGATCTAGAGGGGTATTACCTAGGACTAGCCACACCTAGGAAAGGCACGACGAATGGCTGGGATTAAGGTCTTTGCCTCGACTTTCCCATACGGGTGGCTGGGCTGACTCATGTCGTTGATGAGAATAAAGGAGCCACAGTATGGCTGGAGCTTGGGGTTGATCTTCATGCTGTAGATTCTCCGTACTGGTGAATCCGAGCAGTGGGGGCGCTCTTGGGACGGGGATGGGTACGGAAGGGTGTCCAAAACTAACTTAGTCCCTTCTGAACTAGGACAATCAATGCGGCTCGAATAACCGTCGCCCTGGACGCACGGCCTGGCGCGCATTGATGTGTCTTGGTGTTTGCGCCTTCTTTGGCGTACTTGCTTGGTTGGTCCTTTTGCCTTTGCGGTTCCTGGCCTAGGTCTCGGTAGGTAAAGAAGCCTGACTGGACTGCCTCGATACGGAAGAGACCCAGAGAGAGAGAAGAGGACTGGCTTGCTGCCTGGTCGTTGGGCGAAGGTTCAACCGGCGCGAGCGTTGGACAGATAGCGAGCACGTTCCTACTTCGCGCGGTCCATTATCAGCTTTCCAACTCGCCAGGTTACCAGGCTACAGATGCGTCGTTACACGTAAGGATTACCAGAAACTAGATGCACGTTCGACAGATCTCGATGCAGGGGATGTCTGGAAGTTGAGTTCATGCTACGAGAGTGCGTGCTTCTTCAGGCGACCACTGCTATTGTTATTCGTGATGAGAATAACGATGATGACGAGGTGGGCAGATATCAAACCTGGGGCCTCGGCTCGTGGTCTAGTGACACTGCGTGCTTGTCTGGCGCTGCCCATCCTTCAACACATGTGCTGTGATACCTATTATTGGTGTGCGTCGGGGGTTAGAGTTCATACCAAACTCCACCACCCTCCTCCGGCATGCCCGTTGCCCTTATTCAACGTTTGGCAGCCTAGTAACGGGCGTCATTAGCTGGTCCCGAACCTCTGGGCTTGCGCCCGGGAAACGGTCTTTGCCACGCTAACGTTGTTGCTGTGATGGAATGATCGGGATCCCCCGTCTTCTGGAGGCCTTCTTAAGGAACAGGTCCCGTCCCTGTTGGGAATGGGAGAATGCCTTGCTTTTCTGTGCTCTTGGCTTTTGTTACGTCTAATGTCATGAGCATGGTGAGATGAGTTTATGTTTCCAGAGATGACGTTGGATGACTTGATGAGAGACGATTTTCGTTTGTTTTGGTCACTGTTTTTCATGAGGAGGGGCAAAGTCATTCATTCTATTGTTGAGATATGACACGGGCACGAGGGTGGGAAGAGGTCAGAGCTGGTGCACAGATGTGAGTTGTTTGAGTCGTGGTGGAGGGGTGGCGACTTGCATTAAGCTGACAACACAACAACATCATAGCTCCGGCGGTTTGCCTCCCCTTATGGGGGGTATCACTGAAGACATGTCCGTCGGGGGCAATGCTGCCGGCATCCGGGTCAAACGCGAGACCATCATCATCATGAGCGACAGGACCGATGACGACTACGGGGTCCGGGATGGAGCGCCGAGCGTGACCATCAAGTCAGGCGATCCGGATACGCAGGTCCAGCAGTATTGCCGGCCAAAGACATTTAGGAAGCTTTCAAATGCGTCAAGCCTAATCAGCGAGATTTTTCGACACCCTGAGACGAGCGAGGAGGTGTTGCGGAAGCAGATCAAGAGGGCGAATGATCGAGATACGTCCAGAGAGCTGATTGAGTTTTTGCGCAACACGGAGCCGCCACGGCAAAATACAATGCCGATTGTTGAGAGTCAAGCGCCGAAGAAGAAGAGGAGGATTTCGTTGTGGGGTTTCTTGAAGAGAAAGGGGAAGGCGCAAAGGGCGTGCGAGCAGGATGTCCCGTATCTGCGACTGCCTGATTCGGCGGTCGCGGGGAGGACCACAGGAGGATTCCGTCACATTGCAATTTCGATTCCCATCGAGTATGCGAACTTAGATGGAGTCGTGGCACCGAAGGAGCAGCAGGAGACGGTGCCGGTGGTGGAGGCGCGCAACGAGCCGACTTGTCCGCCGCCAGACCGCGCTCCGGTGAGGGTGTTGAAGCCTGTTTTCGAGAAGCGGGAGCCCATCCAAGAGCCCTTCTCACCGTCAAGCATGCTGCCGCTCATTCCGCCGCTCGACAACGAGACATTCGCATCTCTCCTTACGGCCGACGAGGAGTTGGAGTCTCTATCCAGCTACTCCAGCCATCGAGATGAGTTTGCCAGCTCCGGAAGTGAGGACGCTTCGGTCGGTCATCACACTTCATTTGCTGCTCCGTCCCCTCCGCTGACAGCCCAGCCAAAAGGCTGCGTCTCCAGTCTCTTCTCTCTGACGGAACCGCACGCCCCGAAGCTGCACCGCACACGCCGACACATATCCGACGTTCGCCCTCAACCTCCTGCATGGGAGCAGTCAACAGCGGCGAGCATCGTTACTGGCGGCACCGAGCCTGTGGCGTGGGACGCGACCACGGCACGCGGCTATGCCTCGCCGCAGCTTGTGTTTCTTGAGTCTCCTCGCCAAAGCGATCAGGATTCGTTGGGAACCGACACTGACACAGCCATTCACTCGCCGCGACTGGACCTAAACACAGAGAAGGTCCACGCTGCCGTGGAGCAAAGCCAGCATGAAGCAAAGGACCATCCCGAGCGCATCCTCTCACCGTATGATCCATATGAACCCGATAACTTCGCACGGTTGCATACCTCAACTGACCTCCACCATCACCGGTCAATCCTTTCGCTCACCCCCTTACGAAATAAATACGCATGCAACTCTCATCATGTAGATGTCTACCTTTCTAGGCGCGAAATGGCTTGCCCTTCCTGCCTCACTCCGGTCACGGTAGTGGCGGATCGCACGCCCCCTCCTTGCCAACTCACACCCGAGCCCCAGCAAGGCTTCGTTACAGCCCGCGAGTCCATCGCCTCCTTTGACTCCTTCTCAACGCCATCTCTTCATGCCACAGACGACAGCACCATCGACCTCACCCCCTGCGAACCCCCTACGCCAGAAACCTACCGCTTGCCACACCGCTCCATTAACCTCCGCACCGCACCATCGTTTGAACTCACACACAGCCGCTTCCCCTACCTCTATCACAAGAACATACATCCCCTCCGCCACCACAAAAGTACACACAACCTCTCGCTCCTCTGCCGCTACGAGTCCCTCCGCCTCCAACGCGACCATGAACTCGACGCCATCTTCACCCGACTGGAGTCCATAGAGCGTAACAATCATCGCTGGCTCGAAGCTGTGGCACCCATATTCGAGAACGTCACCAGGGGCTTGCTTGCGACCCAAGGCGTATACCAGGACGAGAGACATGGCGTGTGGAAGCGGCGTGGGGACTTCACCCCTCCTGCGAGCATAGCTGGGGAAGATCACGAGTGTGATTCCTTCTGGGACTTGAAGGCCGAGGTCGAGCAAGCAAAAGAGAATTCGGGATACGGCATGGGTGTTGCGGTCGATCGGATGCCTTCTCGGAGGGGTGATGGTGGATTAAAGAGGGATGCGTTTGGATATGGCCCTGGATATGGGTACTGCGGGAAGTATGGGTTTAGCTACGGAGAGGGTGAAGGGACATTGTCGGATGCTAATGTCAGCGGATTGGAGACGGTCGAGCCGGTCATGAGAGAGTTGTTGAGCGAGGAGGACGGCTCCGGGGAATTCTCGGGGAAATAAAGGGCGGTGATTGCGGTTCCACTAGGGGCTTGGGGTCAACTGTGGATAGGATCCGGAGTTAGTGGTTTGGACTCGGGCTTCAAGTTGAGCATTGTGTATAGGTGTATGTTATATGGATGGATGGATGACACTTGGAGGTATGATGATAAGACCAGGATATAATATATGTTGTGCTTAGTGTTGGCGTCGTCATTTTTTCAGCGTCCTTGGTGAACTTGATGCAGCGCACAATGTTTGTGCTTTCGCTCCCTGACGAAGTTTCCTCTCAACAAAAAAGCGAATCTCATTCCAGCCAGGTCATGAGACCTGGGCAAAAATGAATGGGACATGTGAGGCTCGAACTCACGACCTTTGGATTACTCTGATGTCTAACCAGATCATATTATGAGACCAACGCTCTACCAACTGAGCCAATATCCCAAGCTGTGTTGATGACATTGTTAGGTCCCGGAAATCCCATATCAAGGGGTAACGCCGCTAGCCACTAGTATGAGTGACGACGTCCCACTCACTTACACGCAGTTAGCTCCTATGACAGCGGCATGACTTGCGTGCCATTGGGGGTTTGGTGAGTATCTAACTTGCCTAGATCTATTTTCGCGGGTTGTCTTCTCGCCGTTCGCGTCGCGCAGGTCGGTTTCCCCCTTGCGTCGCGTGGCTTCGAGACATCGAAACCTTCCACAAGACTCTCCAAGACTCGCCATCCTCAGAAAACAAGAACCACAACAAAATGTCCCGCCCCTGGATCCTAATCTGCCCTTCCTCCCGAGGTATCGGCTTCCATTGTGCGTCCTTTTCCACCCCTTTTCCAACTCCCCTTTCCAACAACCAATAACAACCACCCAGTAACCCGACACCTCCTCCACACCACCCGAACACCCATCCTCGCAACCACCCGCTCCCCCGATCCCTCTCCCCTGCACACATCTCTTCTCGCCAACCTAATCACACCACTCGACGACCCTTCCTGCCGCCTGTCTATCCTCCCCTCCGTCGACTTAACGAGCGAATCCTCCCTCGCTCTCGCCTCCAGGCGCGCCGCCTCGCGCTTCCCACCAGACCACCACCACCTTCATCTCCCCTTCTGCCTGCCCGGTATCCTCCACGCGGAAAAATCTACCTCGCAGATAAACTACAGCGACGCGCTGGAGATGCTCAAAGTCAACGTCCTAGGTCCAATGATGCTAATGAAGTATTTCGTGGGGTATATGCCGAGGAAGGCGACAGATATGGACCTAGCAGGGACAGAGCTACCGCCGCACGCCGTGTGGGTCAACATGGGGGCGCGAGTGGGCAGTATAGGTGATAATAAGCTAGGAGGGTGGTTTAGTTACCGGAGCAGCAAGGCAGCGGTGCATAACCTGACGAGGAGTTTGGATAGGGAGCTAAGCACGAGGGGAGGGGAGAAGAGCATGGCGGCGAGTTATCACCCGGGGACAGTCAAGACGGATTTATCCAAAGAGTTTTGGGGGAATGTGAGGAGTGATGTGTTGATGGAGCCGGAAGTCGCGGTAGAGAAGATGGCGAGGGTGGTGATGGGGCTGGGCTTGGAGCAGAGGGGGAGGTGTTGGGATTACAAGGGCCAGGAGGTTCCGCCGTGATTGGGGTGGGTCAAATCTGTGTGTATTAATCGTTGGCCTGCAATAACAGTTCCGGTACCGTCTAGCCCGTCAAGAAGTCTAGTAGTCGTACATCCTGTGCCGGTCGTGATTCTTGGTATTGTCTCTCGTCTCCCAAATCTTCAGAGGGCCACGTCCTGGAACGAACTCCCACCTCCCGGTGACTTGCCGTCTTTCTCGCCAGAACTCTCGCCAGAACTCTCCTTGTCATCGTCCGACGCATCCATCACCGTTGGCTTCAGCCGGACGGCCAACCCCTCCTCCGCCAGTACCTTCTGCTCGTCCTGCCCAGCGCTTCTTACCTTCTGCTCCTCTTCCTCTTCTTCCTCACTGCTGCTCTCCTCATCCACCGCCTCCTCCTTCCTCGCCTCATTCTCATCCTTCCCCATTGGCGTCGGCTGTGACCTCACCGATCTCGGACTGCTCACGTCCTCCCTCGGCGGCTGCGGTGGCAGCTCCTTTTGCGTCGACGCCTGCGGTGACCTCGTTTCGGGTACCTCAAAGCGTACTGCATCCAGATAGAACTTTGTCACACCCAGAATCCTTCCGTTCTTCTCGCACGCGTCCACCCACTCGGGCCGCACCACCGGGATGTTGAGCTCGTTGGCCTTTTCCCACTGAATGCCCCGTCCCTCGGTGGTGACAAAGTGCGTGGTATCGATGCGCACGCCATCGACAATCTTCGCGCCAATGCGCTCCACGGCCTTGGCGAGGCCCTCGCGCGTGGCAGCTGGGAGGATGCCTGTTGTGATGGTGATGCCCGACAGGTCCGTCATCTTGTGGGTGCGCACAGCGACGCGCTCAGAAGTGAAGGTTCCGGCGGTGGTGCGCAAGACGAGGTGGAAGGTGTACTCGGTGTCGACGGCGAGACCCGAGATCTTGGTGGAGTGCATGGCGAGGGGCTTGGGGATGATGCCGGCCTTTTGGCCATTGCGGTAGAGGGCGAGGGAGATGAGGTCGGCGGTGGCGAGCTGGATGGGGTCCCATTCGAGGACGACACTGGTTTGCGTGGCATTGCGGCAGCGGAGGACGGGCGTGGAGGGCTCAGCGGCGCCGAACGAGGAGAAGATCTCGTCCTGCAGGGCGCGGAAGGCGCGCTCAGCTGCGTCTTCGGAGGCCGTGTTGCGTGCGACGGTGATGTCGACGATGGAGCCAGAGGAGATGTCGGGCGGGAGGAGGATTGAGGGAAATTCTATCAGGCGCTTGTCTGGTGTCAGGAGAACAGTGACGCCGGCGTCGACTTTGCCGACGGTAAGGGACACGAGCATCGTTGCTGCTGGCAGCTGCGGCTACGAGCTCCTATCTGTGAAGTTGATCTGCTTCCCCTGAAACCAGTGAACGTGCGAGTTAGATGCACCAGAACGGTTAGTTGAGCTGTCGTGGCGGTGGTGCGCGGTGGTTGATCGTCAAGGTGGGGCGCAAGGGAGCTTCGAGGAGCAATTGTGGTGTTGCGACGACAGCTTGGAGCCAGCCAAGTGTGCTCACCTTTGAGACCCACCTAGCAGCGGGAGCTAAACCGCACTTTACACGTCTTGGCATTTTGTCTCATTCATGAGTTGTAGGGATGGGCAATTTCGATTCACGGACACCTGGTTCGAATTTCCTTACATTTCAGCCCAAATGGCCCGAAATTGAAAATTGAAAACGCACAGACCACATGGTAGGGTTAGGGTTACGTATAGGCCCAATGGCCAAGAATTACTGACCTTTAAATCATTTCCCCGGGAAGGAAATGTGAGGCGTCTAAGAAGCGCGTGGGGCGCGGAATTTCCCGAATTTTCCATACGGCCGACTTGGAAAATGAAACGCAGATTTCCTTGAAAGAAGAAAATTTTCATGAAACGTTGCCCATCCCTAATGAGTTGCACTCAGGTCAATCTACGCAGGTAATATTAGGTACAATACATATACAGGTCATATGGATGCACACTAATCATGTTTCGTTGCTATCGAAACGCTGCTTCGCCTGGTCGGTCGTCTTGTCCTGTGCGTTCCCTCCTGCATCGGGTTTCCGACATGCCGACGAAGTTCGGGAATGATATGATTTTTGAGCATCAATATCATGTGCTCGATCAGCATTGGCATATTCGCCCGTGCCACCTCTTGCGGATTGAGTACCGTCATCTTGACAGTCCCGTGGATTTCAGTGCCGCGAACACTGTCCACGGCGAGGGCCTTTCCGTTTGGTCGGTAACGGCTGGCCTTTAGTGCCCCAAGAAAAGCCCTACGACACTTCTTCTTCGCCGACTCTCGCACGTAGCTCTTCGAGTCGAATTCGCCATCATGGAAATACGACCAGAGCGGATTTTTCTTCTTGGTTCGGTACACGCTCTCAAGCATCGGGGTCAAAGGATGCTGAGTCACCAACTTGTCGACGTGGAACGGATTGAACACGTGCCGATGATGGTAGTGGATTCTGATGCCAAACCGCTTTTCCCCAACGTCCGTTTTGATCCTTTTGAGCTTTCCGGAAAGTGCAATGTCGTTGTGTCGAGCAAACGCAAGTGCTTCTGGGTGGTATGACGCGGAGGTGCTTGAGGCTGTTGCTGGGGATGCCCTGGATGGCAAACCTCGTAGCCCGCCAGGGGCAGAGTTTGGCGCTGCTGCTCGGCGCAAGACGCTCCGCATTACGCCGAGTGTCATGTCCATATTGATTGATATTTGGTGACCATCTTCTTGTTGTCAGAGAGAGGAGCTGGCTGCTGGTTCTGTCTACACCTGGACTGTGAATTCGCAAGTGAACAAAGCGTTCCACTCGCCGGTTGGGACCAGACAAAACCAAGCGCCGCGCCACAATTTACGTCGACGTCGTGGATTCGCCCCGTCGGCCCCACATTCACTCCAAGGGCCAAAGGCGAAATCCGACCCCACGAAACCAGTCATAAACGCCCGCTTGCCCCTCGTTGTTGGCAACTACATCCAAAACATCCTCGCAGCCGCGAAAAGACTTGCACCTGCAAGCCCACAAATCCTCACAAGACCCATACCCCCGATACCTTTAAAGAACAACAGCGTATTTCGCGACTGCCAATATGCCGAAGAACAAGGGAAAGGGAGGCAAGAACCGAAGGAGAGGAAAGAACGAGAATGAGTAAGATTCTCCCCCACCCGCGCCGACCCGACCCGAGCCATATTAACCGGCGCGATGCAGCAACGAGAAGCGTGAGCTCACATTCAAGGAAGATGGCCAAGAGTACGCTCAGGTCCTCAAGATGTTGGGCAACGGCCGTCTGGAGGCCATGGTACGCACCATCTACCCCTCGCTGCGCCCCGCCATACCCCTCTAACCTGCTTCTGCGATGCAGTGCTTCGACGGTGTCAAGCGTCTCGGTCTCATTCGTGGCAAGCTCCGGAAAAAGATTTGGATCAACAACGGAGACATCATCCTAGTCTCTCTTCGCGAGTACCAAGACGAAAAGGGTGATGTCATCCTGAAGTACTCCGCCGACGAGGCTCGTTCTCTGTACGTTGCCGCTGCCCCTCCGACGCAAATGGGGATATTCGCTGACCTCCCTCTAGCAAAGCCTACGGCGAACTCCCTGACACCGCCAAGATCAACGAGACCGATACCTTTGGACCGAACGAGGATGGTGACTGCGGCTTCGAGTTCGACGAGGATCGCGACAGCGAGGACGAGGCTGCTGGCAACGCTGGCGGCAAGGATATCGAGATCGACGATATCTAAACTCCTTCTCTCCTCACAGAACGTGGAGGGCCACCCTTCATCCTCCCGGGTGAAGCACAAAAAACTGTCTTCTCTCTCAAATTTCTGGCACTCGCCTTCTTTCTTGTGCGGCCGCC